TAAACTCATATTTAGATGCTAACAATTGTTACTGTATACGGCCAATATCGGAGAGTTTGACTTTCGGATTACTGTGGTACTCCACGCCCGACTTCGAGGAGCTCGAAGTGGAATTTGAAGGCGGACCCCGAGGTGCTTCCCTCGAGGGGGTATATCGAAAGTCAATCTCGGAGCAACGCAAGTCGGTGGTCGTCATGGAAAGGCGGGAAACCCCCAAAGGCACGCGATGAGGACTGACAGAGTCTGCAAGAATAGTACAAATCCGTACTGAGCCGTTGTACAGCTGTACTAGTAGCATTTCTTCGTCATTTATTAGACATGTACTGTGTTGGGATTCACCCCTCCTATATAAAGGGGACCCTTGTCATTTTGCAAGGGACGGATTGATTAATATACAACATTCTCTGCTCTCTTTGCTAAAACGACTGTTCTTCTGCTTCACATTTATTGCTTATTTTTTCACTGTTCATTTATTGTTCATTCATTGTTCTTCATTTATTGCTCATTATTAACCGCAAAAAGGCCATCTTTGACGCTTCATTATCATTGTTTCTTCATCAATAAACTCACTACCAACTGCCTTAAGCAAGCCTTGAAGCCCCTGCTCCTGCCAGCTCGAGGCTCGGTTTTGTGACAGCTTTGGTTTGCTTTCCTTATTCTCTTTATTTACACTTAGCATTTATTGCCTAACAACTAGAATTAAAATAAATCACGTATTTTTAGAACCACAAAATCAAATATAATTGTCATTACCATATTCAAGGTAAACAGTTTGGCGCCCACCGTGGAGCTAAAAATAATAGTGATTGTTTTGGTGCTAGCTTTCCGAAAACACAAGTTATTCTTCACACTTTTTCTTGTCCAAGAATCTCTGATTTCAGGTCAAAATGTCTAACTAAGCAAATGCACGCGAAAACAACGGTATTGGGCTTCAGGGAGAAAACAGTGCAGACGCCGATGTACCACCGCAAAACCCAGGGGTAGCACCAGCAGATGTCGGTATACCACAGCAAAACCCAGGGGCGGCACCAGCACAAATCGCCATCGACGTGAGCTCACGGAACTTTGTGCATGTCGATGTAAGCTCTCATACCGACGGATGTGTGCGCGGTGAGGAAAGAGACGTTAGTCTTCAAGTCATTTTTGAAATGTTGCAGGCACAACAAGTGGCTATTGCTCAACTACAAAGTCACCAAAAAACCCCATGCACAGTAGCACCGGAAACGGCTCCTCGTGTCGAGTAGGCACTAGAGAGATCCAGCAGCAATAGGTCAGCAACAGACCCCGCCATTATGAAGATGCTCGAAGACCTCACCAAAAGGATTGAATCAAGAGAAAACAAGATAGAGGATAACGATAAAAAGGTTGAGACTTATAACTTGAGGGTCGATCAGATCCCGGGCACACCTCCGATCCTGAAGGGAGTAGATTCAAAGAAGTTCGTACAGAAACCATTCCCGCCAAGCGCGGATCCGAAGCCCATCCCGAAGAAATTCAGAATGCCTGATGTCCCTAAGTATAACGGGACCACAGAGCGCAATGAGCACGTCACCGCTTATACTTGTGCTGTAAAAGGGAATTACTTAAAGGACGATGAGATTGAATCCGTCCTGTTGAAGAAATTTGGAGAGACACTGTCGAAGGGGGCCATGATGTGGTGCCACAACCTAACCTCGAACTCGATAGATTCATTTGCCATGTTGGCAGACTCTTTTGTGAGGGCACACGCCGGTGCCATCAAGGTCTCCACCAGGAAGTCCGATGTCTTCAAAATCAAGTAGAGAGAAAACGAGATGCTAAGGGAATTTGTCTCTCGATTTCAGATAGAGCGAATGGAATTACCACCGGTCTCCGATGATTGGGCAGTGCAAGCCTTCACTCAGGGCTTGAACAAACAAAGCTCGGTAGCTTCGAAGCAGCTAAAACAAAATTTGATCGAATATCCCGCCGTGACCTGGGCGAATGTGCACAACAAGTATCAATCGAAGATCAGGGTCGAAGACGACCAATTAGGAGCCCCTTCGGGCTCAGTATATCCTAGGAGGCTCTTACCAAAAGAACAAAGGTTTACGGAAAGGGAGTCGAGACCAAACAAGAAAAGATACCGGCCTTACGTAGAAGATCGAAGGAACGCCCCGAAGCATAATGTGCCTCGAGGAGATCGAAGGACGGATCGAGGTCAAGTTTCCCGGGGACTCATGAGTAAAGCCGGGTTCGATAGGCACACTAGGCTGGTAGAGGCACCCCGTCTATCCGAGTACAATTTTAACGTCGATGTCTCAGGCATCGTATCAGCCATAGGCAGGATCAAAGATACCAGGTGGCCAAAACCCATACTGTCAGACCCTTCACAAAGGAACCCTAACTTGATATGCAAGTATCACGGCACTCACGGTCATAGGACCGAGGACTGCATATAGCTTCGAGAAGAGGTAGCCCGTCTGATCAGCGAAGGGCATCTTCGAGAGTTCCTCAGCGACCGAGCTAAAAACCACTTTCGGGAAAGAGAGGCGAAGAGGAAAAACGAACCAGGAGAACCACAGCACGTCATCCACATGATCATAGGAGGGGCCGATGCCCCACAGGGACACGTTGTCAGACGAACGGAAATATCCATCACCAGAGAAAAGCGAACTCGGAGTTACGTACCAGAGGATGCTCTCACATTCAGCGAAGAGGACATCGAGACCTTGTCTCAACCTCATAACGATGCACTGGTAATTTCTTTTCTTTTGAATAAATTTCAAATCAAACGTGTGCTCGTGGATCCAGGTAGCTCGGCCAACATAATCAGGTCGATGGTGGTAGAGCAGCTAGGACTGCTCGACCAAATCGTACCCGCCTCCCGAGTCCTCAATGGATTAAACATGGTGAGCGAGACGATAAAAGGGGAGATCATCCTCCCGGTCAACATGGCCAGTACAATCGAAGATACCAAATTTCATGTCATCGAAGTTGACATGAGATACGACGCCTTACTTGGATGGCCATGGATACACAGTATGAGGGCAGTACCATCAACCCTTTATCAAATGATGAAATTTCCAACCAAGGATGGAGTAAAAGCAGTGTACGGGGAGTAGCATGCAGCAAGGGAGATGTTCGCGGTGCACAACATGGCACCAGCATCGACGCTCTCGACCGTGAAGGAGCATTTAGACAAACAAATAGCCAAGTAGCAACCGCAACCGACATTCTCGGTTACACCCCAATGAGTGAATAAAGGACCATGCCGCGTCCTCATAGCAAGCAATTGAAACACATCGAGGCTCAACTCTATCATTACTGAGGTACAACCCTCTCCTTTTTTCATTTGTGTTTTATACTAACTTGTTGTAGGTATTAAATTGAAAGGAATCGAAGCACCCTCCAGCTCGAAGACCTTGGGTTTTAAAGCATGCGTTGTGCTCTTTTTCCCTTAGACCGGGTTTTATCTCGAACGGGTTTTACTGGCGAGGTTTTTAACGAGGCAACATCCATATGTTACCTAAGGAGAACTCATCAAGTATTCAAGGTTTCTCTTCAATCAACCTCAAATACTGGGGGGGCATCACCCCAGGAGGTCACCTCTCGGAAGAAATCAAACTATGCCTAGGAGGACCTCGATAGGAGAATGTTGTATTGGGCAAAACAGTCAAATGAACCGTGTCCATGTAGAATAATCGAGCCTCCAAAAGAAAAAAACGTGTACGCATATATCAAGTAATTGAGGAAGCCTCTTTGCTTATCAACACTTTGTGCCTCGAAGAAATCCACTACTATCACGAAAAATGGCCCAAGAGCCAAAAACTCTCGAACACCCGGGGACTGTCATCAAATAGTCAGCTCATCGTGCCATCGAAGACTCGAATTCGTAAGACCTCGATCAGGCAACTTCGAGCTCGTAAGCCCTCAGTGAGGCAACATCAAATCTGTAAGACCTAAACAAGGCATGCTCAAAGTTATAAGACCTTAAAAGGGCATAACCCCGACATTAAGGCCGAGGCTATATATTCGAACTTGTAAGACCCCTAAAAAGGCACACCCTCAATATAGACGCCAAGGTCATCGCACACGGGGACTAAAGGCAACGGCCAAACATAAAGACTACGATCGAACTTAAAGGCTACGGCCGAATTAACATGGCTCGGAGACGTCCGACTGCCGCCATAAAACTAAAGGCCTCCAAAAACTTTGAAAATACTTCGAAAAGAACCGGTTAATCGGGCTACCCTCGGCATAAGCAAAGGAGCTTCGATAATATCAGCTCCGAACAATAAAAAGGCTTCGAAAACAATCAGCCTTCGATGAAAAAGTTTCGAAAACTCAACCTTCGAGCGAGCCTTCAAAGGTACTCAACTATCGTCACATATCGACTCATAATCGAGGTTCTCGTTTGAGCCGTCGAAGAGTCGGACGAACATAAAACATGCCAAGGCATAATCAAAACTTCAAAAGTCTTTAGCCAAAATGAGGGAAAACTATAGCCATACTAGAGGTCACATCGACCCAATCTAAAAAGAGCCTAATGGCCGACGCGTAAGAGCCTAAGGGCCAGCCTAAAAAGCCTAAGGGCCAATGCTTAAGAGCCTAAGGGCCAGCCTAAAGAGCCTAAGGGACAACGCGTAAGAGCCTTACGGCCAGCCTAAAGAGCCTAAGGGCCAATATGCTGAAAACCTAAGGGTCAATGAGCACGAGTCAAAATTTTACTCGAGGAGCTGACACCGAACGGTTAACTATTATCAATCACTCATCGAGCATGAAAACTTGAGGGGTTTATATCATAAGTCCGACAAACCAAACTGGTTATCGACAAGCATCAAAATTTATTCCAAAAAGGCAAAAGGAAAACAAGAGATGACAAAAAGTGTGTATATATATATATATATATATGATAAAGTTTCACGAAGACGTATTTACAAGGCTCACGCCTGGAGCCTTTACACAAAAAAGGAACAAATGAAAACCTAATCTACCGCCGGGGTTACTTGACAAGACGGAGCTCCCTCAGAAGTTGTACCTTAAACGGCCTGGCCCTCAATCCCCAGAACATCGACGGCCTCCTCTCCCTCGGGGACTTCACCTTCGTCTTCATCATCCTCCGAGCCACTGGTTGAATTACTAGCTGAATCATCATCAGAAGAAAGCAGAGTTGCCGATTCTTCCTCTAGGGCCTTCACCCTCTCGATTTCGGCAGACAAATCGATGCCCCCTGCATATACATCCTCGAGAGCCTGTCTCCGAGATCTTAATCGGGCATGTTCCAAGGCTCGGGACAGTTTAAGCTCGGCCTCTTCGGATACCTTCCTGGCTCAAGCATTTGCAGCAGCAGCATCTTTTCGGTATGAGGATATGAGCCCAGCGGCTTCGACTTAGCTGCAGATAGCTCAGCAACTGATTCGGCATGGAGATCTTTGTACTTGAGGCTTTCTCCCCTCGCCCCTTGGAGTTGGCACTCAACCGAGGTCAGCTTCTCTCGAAGAGTTTCTTTATCGGAGGACACCTCATCCATGCACTGCTTCAACCCAAGGATTTCGGTATCTCTGACTTTAAGCTCCTCTCGCATTAGATCATCTTTTTGCTTGAGCTGAAAAGGTCAAATTAAGGTATCAAACGCTCAATTGACTAAAGCACAAATATAAGCCCGCGAATGTCGTATTACCTGCTTGTCGAGATCGGCCCGCTCTCGAGATATCCTCTCAAAATGAGCTTGAAGGTCACCTAGCTCCCCCTCCTTTTGGGCATGAAGGGCCTTAAGTTCGTCCAATTCAGAAACGAGCTTCCTAAATTCGTCCACACAACGAGCCAACTCAGCTTGTGACCTTGAAAAAGCTTGGTTGGAGAGCTTCAAGGCCTGAAAACACAGAAGAAAGAAGTCGGAAAAGCAAGAATCGAAACTCAGAATACAGCGGTCAAGTCAAGATTACCTGTTGTCGAAGCTTCTCGGCTTCTTCAAAGATCAATGAGGCGTCAATATCGGGGCCTTCCTCAACCCCAGCAAAATATCCTTCAAACATACTATTCTCTCCGGGGGATGTCCCCACGACGGGAGTTTTCATATCTTGGGCATCCCGTATTTGCCCGGGAGAGAATGATGGGCCCGGCAGAGGCTCATCTACGTTGATCACCTCGACTGGTTCGACGGGGGCCCTCTACCCCCTTCGAGGGGCTTCATCATTGGTTTCTTCGGGTTCATTGACCAGGTGCCCCTCGGCACCCGATGTTTTTTGGTGGTTGGTCGGCCTGGGGACTTCGTCTAAGCCCCCTTTAACAATTCCCTCAGTTCGGGTCGGGACCACCTCGGCGGCCTCCATTCCAGCAGCCTCTAACTCAGCCACTTTTGGCTCAGTAGACTTCAAGGCAACAGCACTTCTTCTCCCCCTAGGTGCCAGCGAGCAGTCATCATTCTCTTCACCCTTGGTGCAAAGATCTTCGGCCATTTCCCGAGTTAAGGCCACTGAATCGGCCTCGGGCTTTTGAGCCTTAGCCCTTTTTGGCTTCGAGGACTCAGCTGGTGATTTCTTCTTTCTCTTTTTTCTTCTCCTTAGCAGGCTTCGGGGTAGGCGAGGGTTCCCTCATCAAAACGGCCTCTCCAAGGCCTGCATAGGCACAAAGGATGAGAGTACCAGCGAAAGATATCTTCTCTAAAGAGCTCAAATATGAACAGAGATAAAAACTCCCCGTGATTTTTGGCCTCCCAAGGGGTCTTAGCCAGATCACGCCACATGCGCTTAGCGTATGGGCAGATCGAATCAAGTCGTCGGACCCGCCCGGGAGATCGTTGACAGAACCGGGGTACCACTCGACAGTTGTATCATCAAAGAGAGTTAATTCAAAGTCAAGAAAAGATATCCGATCAGTGAAACATTTTACTTACGATTCATATTCCATTCCTCGGGGAATGGCATTCTCTCAGCTAGGATCAGGTCCGAGGTCCTGACTTGGACAAAGCGGCTCATCCACCCTCGGTCCTTGTCTTCATCGATGCTAGCAAAAAAGGCCTTCGAAGATCGATGCTTTAGCTTAATCAGGCTCCTCGATAAATTCGGGGGCTATACAGCCTAATTAGATGGTCGAGGGTAAAAGGCATCCCCTCAACCATGTTTAAGAAATACCTAATCATATAAACAATGCGCCAGAACGATGGATAAATTTGTCCAAGTGTCACCTGATATTGGCTGCAGAAATCGAGGATCACTGGATCTATCGATGGTAAAGAGGCTTTTACCGGGCCTAAGGTGAAAGGATATGTGTATACACTGAGGAAAACGACCTTGTGCTTGGTTATGTCTTCTCCTCGTGAAGGAATCTCTACTTGCACCGCCTCCCCCCAACGGCAGTCGGCCTTCACCTTCTCAATTTCAGTTATTAAACTGATATACCGAGACATGGGTTCGCATCGCCCCGGAACAGATGAGGGATTTCGACCTGGAAATCAGAAGATATATTGCAAGGCCCGGGAGTACACTCCTCGATACTAGGAGGAACTACCGATTTACCTTTGGTCGTTCGAGAAGACGATGAAGCTATTTCCTTTTGAGGAACATTTTTAGAAGTTTTAGCCATCTCTAAAGCGGAAAATCCAAGAAGATGGAAAATATTGTTAGAAAAGAGAAGGGAGAGTTCAAGGAAATTGAAAAGGGCTAAAGTGAAATTTTGGAAGCACTAAGAGAGTAACATCTGTAAAGTTATGGGATTTGTCTATTTATAAAGATCGTTTGAACGTGCTGAGGAAGCCAAAAGACCGACCATCGGTCGTCTACAATTAATGCTTTTGGGAATCGTACAGAAAGCAACTCTTTAGTCTCTTCAACCGCTTATGTCATGATGTTGACGTCAGGACCCAGGCATTGGGAACTAGATTGTCGAAAATTATTAAAGAATAGTCTACGAGTCGGGTTCGGCAAAGGCTCTCTCGACTATTTTAAGCCCAAGGGCTACCCGAGTTCGAGCCAGTTCTCACTCGGGGACTATTAACAAAGCCTCAGGGCTATCTTCATCTCAAGTTCGAGCAAACGCTCTCTCGATTATTTTAAGCCCAAGGGCTGCCCGAGTTCAAGCCATTTCTCACTCGGGGACTATTAAAATAGCCTCAGGGATATCTTCATCTCAAGTTCAAGCAAATGCTCTCTCGATTATTTTAAGCCCAAGGGCTACCCGAGTTCGAGCCAGTTCTCACTCGGGGACTATTAACAGAGCTTTAGGGCTATCTTCATCTCAAGTTCGAGCAAACGCTCTCTCAATTATTTTAAGCCCAAGGGCTACCCGAGTTCGAGCCAGTTCTCACTCGGGGATTATTAATAGAGCCTCAGGGCTATCTTTATTTCAAGACCGAGCAAATGCTCGCTCGACTATTAAGCCCAATGACTACCTGAGTTCGAGCCAGTTCTCACTCGGGGACTATTGATAAAGCCTCGGGGCTATCTTTATTTCAAGATCGAGCAAACGCTCGCTCGACTATTAAGCCCAATGACTACCTGAGTTCGAGCCAGTTCTCACTCGGGGACTATTGATAAAGCCTCAGGGCTATCTCTATTTTCGACCTCGAGCGAGCGTTCACTCGACTACTTAGCTCAAGGGCTACCCGAATTCGAGCAGGCTCTCACTCGGGGGCTGTATATAAAGCCTTAGGGCTATCTTTATTTTCAAGTTCAAGCAAATTTTCACTCAATTCGGGGCTTGTCGACGCCCCCTTTTTCCCTCCCTCCAAAGAGCGAGAAATCGGGTTTACGACATTTAGGAAAGACAACTCTATTCCCGTTTGGGATTGGGTTTTGGATTTGGAGAGTCGCCACCTAATGATTATAGTGCATTAGGACACTTTAAGAAAGAATTTGAGATGAAAAAACCAGAGTTCGGGTAAGGGCTAGAAATNTTAGGTGGGTACGTCTATATATATCTGGCTTAACAAAGAACTAGCCTATATTACTTCTCAGACTGAACAAGACTACATTTCGCTTTGCACACACGCGAGGCAAGTTCTAGACATCAAATGCAATGTACAGAATACATACAAACCTCACACAGACATGACACATAACTCATTCAGGATTGGTTTTTTATCACGACACTCCAGTCAAAGCAGTTAAGTAAATTTAGGAATCCACGATTTAAGGTATTTATACTAGAGTCAAAAATTGAGCCTAAGCGTCACAATCAGAGTACTGACTATTCTCAAGGCATCACAAAGCACAGAGATATTGCTACGATTAAATGCATAGCCACGTGGTTCCTACTCCTAACTGTTAAAACTACCTACACCCGGTTCAACTAAAAACACTTGGAAAAGAATCGCGGCCCAAAGAAAAACCAAGGAGGAATTACTACACTACCTACAAAAAAAAATCTTTTTGGTATTTTCTTTAGACTTACTTCCCTCAAGAAAACTGTCTAGGAGATCCATCGTCGGGAAAAGTCCAACATTTTTATGTTTTTTTTAGATGTTTTATTTTATTTTATATTTTCTGCCAAAAACAAATAACAAGAAAAACAAAAATAGTATAAAAAAATTCTAAAAATAAAAACAAATTCTTAAGACAATTAACTAAAACAATTAGCTAACGAAAATGAAACAAATTCTTAAAACAATTAACTAAAACAATTAGCTAACGAAAATGACACTTACTACAACAACAAAAACAGCTAACAACTACTAATATCTACAAGTTCCCATCCCACACTTAAATCATGCATTGTCCTCAGTGTATGCACAATTTGACAAAACAAGAAATAAAAGAGTAGGGTGCAAAGAAACTCCCTCATCAAACAACGTCTTCATCCTTAGACGCTCTCCATTCCTCATCATGTTCGTCCTCCTCCTCCTCCTCATCTCCCTCACCATCTGACTACTCTGGCTCAGCTTCAGACAGCTCAGGTGTGTTGATATCCTCATTGTCGATGCCCCCTTTTTCTCGCAAAATCGGGTTTACGACATTCAGGAAAGACAACTCTATTCCCGTTTGGGAATTGGGTTTTGGATTTGGAGAGTCGCCACCTAATGATTATAGTGCATTAGGACACATTAAGAAAAGAATTTGAGATAAAAACCAGAGTTTGGGTAAGGGCTAGAAATTATCTTGAGGGGAAGGTATTAGGCACCCCCCAAGATCCACTAGTGTGGTTCCCGGCCATGCTACAATTGTGACTTTAAATACAAACAACAAATAGAAAAGCAAGCATTGCAAATACAATGAAACCACTGACATAACAATTGCAAATAAAAAGCACAAAAGGATTTAAAAGTGCTGAAATCTGGAAGGAAGTAGTTTTATAATCACAGAAAGGTGTGAGAGAAAAGAAGGGGTCAAATAATTGATGCAAGCAACTTAAAAGGAGTAAAAGAAGTGGAAGTTGAAAATTGGATAGCTTTTAAAATTCTAAAAATAACAAACTAATAAAGAGGGAAGGGGGTCCTAGGTTTATATATCACATGGATCATTTACACAACACCGGTATCCAATTGTACGCGTAGTGTTATCGTGTGATCATCATCTCCATGTCTACCCTTCCCACCCCGTTAAGGTATTAAAGCGTGGAATGGTATCGTTACTTATTGCATGCTATTACCCGCCCCAATCCTATCAGTCCCGGAGGCAAATGGACTACTAATCCTAAAGGGAAAGGGGTTTGGGGCTTTTAGAAGTTTTCAAAGGACAAAATGCTAAGGCGTCAACCAAAACAGGGCTCAAATATGCCTCCATAAACCAGCAAAAAGTCATAGAGTTTAGCATGTCTTACACGTACTGTTTTTGGTATTAATTAAATAAAGTGACGAGCTGACTGGTTCAACACATATTATTAGGCGAAAAAGTCTACATTAGGCATACTCGAATGCAGTTGACTAAAACCGATCTGATTGTTAATCCTCTAAGTGTTGGTTAGAACTAGGCGTGATGTATACTGATTTTAGAAAAAAGGTACATACTGAAAAGGGGTTACCAATTTTAACAGGACATTACGAGTTCAACAGTTAATATTACCTCTATTCAGATTCGAGATTTCCTATAGGCATGCTTTCTATATGTATGCTGATTTGGACACCTTTTGGACGTTAACAAAA